CGCAATTTGACTTTTTACTGATTATGAATAAAAAGGAACCCAGATAATAATTGGTATTTAACTAGGCAATAATTAGGTGAAAGTTAGTAATTAGCTGGGCAAAAATTGATACTTAGCTAGCATAAAATAATAATTAACCAGTTTTATATGAAAATAAATCTATAATCAAGTCAGTACTAATTATTTCTCGGTTTTTGTCTGATTTGTGTCTGATTATTATCTGATTATTACTCAGTTTTTATCCAATTATATACTAGAAATGAATAGATATTTTCCTAGATTTAAATCGGATATTTTTTTAATATTATTATATATTTTTCTAAAATGGTTAAAACCAAAGGTAGATCTCAAGTTCGACAATATCTTAACCCTACTGCTACTTCATTAACTCCTGAAGCAATTGAAAAAATAAGAGATGCTTATGCAAAACAGATACCAAATAGAAAATGCATTATATGTGATATTTATAATATTAGTAGTGAAAGATATGATGATATTGTAAATGGCAGGATATATCCTCAACCACCTGAAATAGAAATAACATCTATGAATTCATCTATCTCAATACCTCAACCAAAAATCTTGCCCATACATAGCTTATCAAGTGACAGAAATCCTGAGCAAGTAATTTCTTTGAGCAAACCAGTGACAAAAAAGACTAGCAGAAAAAAGAAAGTCTCACAGAATGAGGAACTTCCTAGTTCTAATATTGATAAGACAAACTCTGATGTAGAATTATCTAAAGGTGGAGATCGATCGGAATCAAAAACTATAAATCATTCTATCTCATCAATACCAGGGAGTGATGTGCAAGCTAGAATGGAAAATTTACGAGAATATAAAAAACAGCTTCAAGCTGAATCTTGAAATCGTATCAATTCCTTTTCAAGATATTCTGCGTAATCAAAAGCTCTAATAAATTCCTTTTTAATAGTTGCTTTATTTTCTAGATTTTTCATACCTGATATGATTTGAATCTTGGAATAGAATTCTAGTCTGAGAAAAAAATTGATTTGTTTGTCAGAATCTATTATGTTTTTTTTTTTAGATCTTCAGTGAATGAATCAGAGACTTGGGACTCTTTTTCCTTATTAGATGCTACCTCCTCTTTAGTATCAATCTTGGTAGAAGAATCAAAAGTTTGATTTTTTGAATTATTATCCCGAATCACTGTTGTATAAAGGCTTGATAAAACATTATTCTTGATTGGCTTAGTAAAGGTTGGAATAATAAAAGATTTTCTACAAACTATTATTCGAAATTCATGTTTGTATCTAGAATTCCTTGAACTTTTCGAATCCATGGTGTTTCTAAACAAAGAAGGTAATCGGGTTTTCCATCATCAATAACAACAACATGTCCTGTTTCAGTAACCCATTTATTTTTATATTTTATAGATATTGGTACATCCTTATGTCCTTCTTCTAATTTCATTATATGATCAGAATTATGTCTAAGGAAAAAATTTGGTGCCATTCCAAGATTCCATCCTACTGCCTCATTTAGTACTTTATTTATACCAAGACATTCCGATGCTGTATCGACAAACACATCTGGAATAATTATATCTTCAATTCTACACTGCATATATTCAAGTGATTCCACCCATTTATTTTTTGTAGATGGATCAATAATTTTTTTTCGCATTGCTGGAGATAATAATTCTAATAACTGATTATCTGATTCTGAAAAAAGGTTTGGCATAGTGACTTTTTTATTTTGTTTAGATTCTGCAACTAAAGATTTGCATGAAATTACTGATTTATTCTGTGATGTCTTACTTATTGTTGGTGATATCCATTTTTTTTTTCTAAATAGGATGGAGGGGCATGCCATTGATTATCTTTCTCATTATACCCACCTTCATCCTCCTCATATCATCTGAATTAGGAGGTGTGTATTGGGGATATATTGGCTTGAGAGATGTAAAATATGATCAAGTATAATTAGATTGGACCATAGGTTGAATGGGGCATTTGCCCTTGCTATGGCCTGTTT